CATTCGTACTCTATATTCCTCATGTGGCAGTGCTGTACCCACACCAGATAAACTTCACTAGATTTATTCAGAACTTCGGATCTGTTTCCTTTCACCTCCCCGTGCAGGCTGTCATGCCATTTCGTATCTCGGATTTGTGATGGTTTGTTTTGAATTCATTTATTTTTTGATAGATGAAGTAATGAATAAAGACCTTTGGAAGTACAGTGCCATGGACCACCAGCCATGAAGTATTCTGCATAAAGACTTGAGTTGAGAATTAAACGAGACTTAACCCGAGGTGTTTCAGAATACAGACGTGATTTCAAATTGTTAGGCTATAAAAAAGAAGCAGAATGGGTATTAAACTAAATGCTCTTTATGGAGTTGATTTCATCATCCCTTTTTGTCTTATCTAGCGGAATTGTTGAGGTGAAACGAGACATGTATATCAAAACTGTTCAGGTGCAATATACATGTACAACTGTGTCTCATCGAAACAACGAGAAAACGATGCAAGCGGCGTCAATGAATGTGGTGTTTTACTGTCCCAAACACTAGCCGTTTGTAACGTCTACCCCAATCAACTCTGATTGTTAGATGGCATCTGAATTGGGTCTCGAGTGAGGCGACTTGAAGGAAACGCCTCATCCATCCCCTGTGAAGAGTGGAGCGTATGTAAACTGTCATTCGAAATTGACTTGATCAGGCCATTCCAAAATTTACGGTAGGCTTGATTAATACATCATACAGGACCGTATGCAAAGTGACTGATTTGTGATGACCGCCACAGTCTCCAGAAATTGGGGGGGGGTCGCAAAGTTAACATGCGTATATATGATGATGCCAGTGGGCATGTCAGGGTACATGACGACGCCTGGCACCCCCCTCCCCTTGCAAAAAATACCCCTCTGGTAATTACTCATCGGTGTTACAGCTTCCTGTGGTAGACACAGCGGAATAGGGAAAGATCCAGGCCCCTCGATTCGGTGTTTCCCGCTGGATGGAGTGGAGGGGAGGAGGGTATGTAACGCATCCCCTCAACCTAGAGGTGGGATGCTGCGCCAGCTATAGTTTGTTTATAATCCCTGCATCAAGATTATGGACCGGCTTTGAACATTTCAGATGTCCCCCTGTTTCAAGTGTCGCATTAGCTACGCCTTAACACGTAATACGGTAATCCACGTGGATATTGCGGATTAACATACGGTAGATGGCTGCGCGCGTTTCCCTTTCCGCGTCCCCGTTTTTCCCCCCGACCTGCAGCGCGTGCGCTCCGATAAGCCACTTCCGAGATAAATTCGAATGAAATCTGGTACACTGTGTCATCTAATTGCACAGAAACGTAACGATTTGAATACCCCAGACTAAAGACACTGTTGCTATACCTCGTGATTCGGGGAAAGCCTTTGCATAGCGACCATCATCTCTGGAATGGACTGGTTCCTTTGTGCCGTTCTTATGTGTATTGTTGCAAGGCGTCTCTTATGTAACTAAGCAAAAGCTTGCCCCGAATCGTGAGGTATAGCAACAGGGGTTTCAGTATGGAGAATTCAAGTCTTGCTATGTTCATGTGAATTTGAAGAACTCAGTGTACCAGATTTTATTCAAATTTAACTCGCAAATTGCTTAATGACTAATATGCTGGGGGAACCGAAAAGACTACCAAATTGAAACAGGTCAAAACATGACATTTGAAAATCACCACAGGAGCCAACACCTCGACACGAATAAGACATTATGAAATTCATACCACAAAGTTGCTAACTTATAACGTTTTCCCAGTACCGGTACATAAGCTAAGTCCAACTCAGTTGGACTCGACCCTGCGTGTATACAGAGCCCCTTTAAAATCTTCAATCACAGTATTCAAGTATGATGTACATGTATGCCCAATGAATTCGCCAGTACTCCGTATAAGCAACACCCCTCGTAAGCCCAAGTTATAGACAGCTAATGCTTCATGGACCAATACAGACCAAGAAAGAACAGCAATATTGAACCACCGGTGGTGTACTTGTATTGAGTTGCCTTGGTTTACAGGAAACACACAAGATCGTTTTGTTGAAGGTCTCGTCAACATCTTCCACATCGTGCTTACGGTCAAAAATGCTGGTCGACGTTCACCACGTATAACCTACGCGGATATCCGATCAAGTGGTAAACGTACAGCAGTAATCCGTTTCTAGCAGGTCAGAAGCCAGTCAGTCTCACTGACCGAATCGTGGAAAAGACAGTGAGCGATATTTCAAAAAGGCCAGGTCATTCGGGAACTGCGGCAGTAAACTTCGCCAAGTTAAGACTCACAACTCTGGAATGAAAGGTTCTATAAGGCTATTCGTCTCCGTGACGTTTATATACGGTCGCCATAACATGAGGGCGCGAGCACATTATATATGGGGTGCGGACTGGTACATAAACTCCATAGCCAACAGTGATAAATACCTGAACTTCAAAAAATGCTGAAAAATACTCCCAAGTTTCTCAGGCGTTTTTTTCGAATTTCCATCCATTTTTTTCCTCAGAAGTGCACCTTTAAAATAAAAGCAGTCGTGAATCGACGCCTAAATTTCTCGAAAAATAGACAGATTCGGGCACACATTTCTTCCAGATCTCTCTCAGACACAAACTGGCATTCGTTTTGGTCGCCTAAACCTGTCTTTTCTACAAATCTCCAAGTTCATGGGCCACAAGATGCTCTATTTTGTAGAGAAGTTGAGTTCATACAGTTCGTGATTTGACCGGCGCAAGCAAGTTTCGGCCTATATACCGGCCTGCATCTTTTGGGTTGGTTCAATAGCGCCCTCCCACTGTAACCGGAACTAGGGCTAACAGGTATAATGACGATTCTTCACTGCAGTTTTGCGTGTCCAAAATATTTAGAGAAAAATGCAAAAATTGAAAGTGCTACTTAAGTTATTTAGAGACAAATGAAAAATTGAAAGGGTTAGGGCCTAATTCAATTGACCTTTTCACAGAGCAAGGGTGTGAGACAAAGTGTGTTTGGCGTATACATGAGGGCTGATGCCAGCTACAGGAAAGGAAGGGTTGGGCACAATTCACAATTATTAATTCAATGCATTGACCACGAGCGGCCAACAGATCCCAGAGCCGGAGCGACCGGCCTTCAGCTCAATACCCATTTTTTTTTTTTTTATGCCTGCGGTGCAGGCGTTGGCGTGGAGCCTTATAATAGTGCAAAGAGAGTTCGGACAGCGGGAAGGAGGGGGATATCGAAAGGTCGGGGGATCAAGTGGTGACCTCGTCAGACATCCGGACTTAAGCCTGGGTCTGTGTTTTAGATTGATGGTCTGCCCCCTCCCCTTCCAAGACGGCCAACATCATGCAGGTCAACGGTTGCCCGAGGCTTTCCATGCCGTTGATATAATATTATGCAGTTCAATTTTTCTCGCTGGGGGAAATATTGGGAGTTTCATTTCATCATATGAATTCATTGGTTTTATGGCTAGGAAATAAACTAAGACTGAATAAGTTAATTTCGAATCAGGTTCAGTGCAAATTCGACTGCACAATGGAGCTGCTTATGGATGATATTTTCGACAATTACTTTTAAGCATAACAACCAGTTTTGAACAACACCTTTCACATCTGTTGTTCTCATTCCTGCTCTTATGAATGGCCCCACGTGCCAGATAAAAATGTTATTTTTTTTGGCGATCGGATTGGCTTTGGAGCTGGATCCTTGCTCTCTGGGTAGACTGATCATTCTCCATAAGCACGCATGCAGTCGAGAGCCAAGTCAGAACCGGTTGAGGATATTTTTCTCGGCCTCTCGCGGTATAAGATGGCGGAGGATTCTAGGTCTACACATCTAGCTCAAACAAGGGACGTATCACGTTTACCAGCTGAACTCGGCAGGACAGACTTCTGGACGGAGCAAGCATTACAGTCTATGCGGGCAGGAAGGGAGGAATAGCCCGGCTGCAGATCAGAGTAGTACTGGCTGGCTGAGTGCGAGCATGGGGAAGATGTTAGTTTGGGAAGTTGATGACAAAACAATCCAACCGAAACTTGAAGGGCGACGACTTCAGGAACGGAAATGAGCTTCGAATGATAGTTCACCCAACCTGTGATTATTATACGATCCCTGCCTGACGGATATCTTTCACATATTACAGAACAGTGCTCACATGAATGTCGATGTCATCTCCCGGATATTCCTGCATAAAACGATTGCTCGAGCAGAAAAAAAAACTGCGATTAGATGCTCGATGAAAATAATGCGTTGAGAGACAAGAAAAGCCGAATCTTCCAATTCTTGGAAAATGTCTTGCGCTACTTTGGTTCAAAATGACAGATACATTACTCATGCATTATCTCACTGGTTCCTACGGTGCAAGTTTTCGCAGGTTCAAGCACACGATTCTCATGGCATCATTACAGAGGTCCTACCCCTCTGCTCGGTTACACGAACCTTGTGTGAGCCACTACAAGTAAAATAAAAACTTGCAAGCCGGGAACTTTTTCAAGCACAAGCGAGCATCTGGAAAACATTAAGAAATTTCTAACGTTTGCGACGAAAAGCACCCCATGAAGTTGGGTCAGTGGTCTACATCTTGCAGAAGTAGCTCCGAGGACCATCGTCAAGTTTTGCTCGTCTCCCATGTCTAAAAGTATGGCCACCAAGCTTTAAAGTCTGGTTGCCGAGTTTAACTGTTAGATCATGAAAATGTGCAATGTTGATGAAAACGTTGTCTATATAAATGCGTAGATTTGCTTTCAAAATCCAAAGATAAAAAATAAACAAAAAACGAAAAACGCACTAGATTTTTGACAGCGTCTCTATCTAAAGTGGACCACTTCCCGCCAAGTTTTGGGGTCAGTTCTCACCACGTTTAATATTTCAACTACAACCATGAGAACACTAGTACTGAGTCTGTAAACGTACGTGTAAATTAGTCGTGCTTTCAGTATTACAAGAGTCGCCTCACGGTCAACAAAAGTAACTTTGATGGTCGTTCACTGTTCAAAATCTGAGCAGAGACCGAATGGAACACCATGCATGCCGGGCAGATTGGCTGTCCATTGCTGGAAACGCTCGTGCTACAGGCCACACATTTTGCCGAGGATTTCAAAGAAGTTAGTCGAGGCAGCCACAAATCGATTTATTCAGGATAGTTCAATATAAAGCGTGGCCCTTTAACATTCTGAAATAACGCTTTGTCGGGACATGTCATTTTGTTTTTAAGGAACATCCAATTTCCTGCAAAGTATAATCGAATTTAAGGTGAATTCATAATTCGTATAAATGAGCAAGAGGTCTAATGACGCTTATCAAAATGACTATCTGCGCATCAGGCCGACCTTGACATACACCGTTACTTTCAATCAGGAAGTTGCATGTGTCAATCGAGGTACTCATTCGCGTTTGGAAAGACCATAGAGGACTCCTCCATGGAAAGGCATTTCATCAGATCTCGAGCCCCCCCCCTCTATCAAGGATGCTACCAAATAATACTTCATCACTTTACTTGCGTTGCCTAAAAGAATAAAGTTGTCTGCGAGACATACAAACTACATGTGCCTTATGTTTTTGTATTTCCAATTCTTAACATATTACGCATGCATTATGGATTCAAAGTCAGCTATAAAAAAATCCCCGAAACCTTCTTTGGGTCTTGGTTTTCATAGATCACACCGGGAAGTATTTTTTGGCGGATTATATTCTTGTTAAGTTTTTTAATCGATTCCTCACGGCTGTACGCAAATACATATTTTTTTTGTCAGAAGACCCGGCATCAATTAAAAATCAATTGGATGCATGAAAATTGGTATTTGAACCAACTGATCAGAACGACCCTCATTCGGTAACATTATAGTTTATCATCTTCATTTGAAGTTCACTTTTTATTTTGTTTGACGGAAAGCTTGAATAAAATTTTTTTGAGGTGGAAAAAAATAAGTCTTTGATGGAAGGCATGCATCCCCCCTCCACAGTTATGGGGGGAAAATTCTTTTTTGGTTGAACGGATAACGGTTGTTCGGCGTGTTTTCGTTCCCGTTTGAGCCGGCGCCAACACAGCATGGGTAAAAAGACTAGCCCAGCTGCCCGTACTGACAAAACACCCACAATGTAGGAATAACTTGGGCAAAACCACCACTGAAAAAAAAAATTATAGAGGTTCGAAGACACGAAAGAGGCCTAGCAAAACAAGCAGTGTCAGACAAGACACGACACACGAAGTGTGTGAGTGAAACAAACGGTTGTTTCACGAGAATGTACACTGAACATTTCGTGCTGAGTGCTCCCGTCTTCCCTCCGATATATACATGTATTTCAGATTGTCTCTCTTTCCCCTACGATTTTTTTCCCCTGTTCGTGCCTTCATCATGTTTGCGTTGTTGACTCATGGTCCGCATTCCATTCACAGTGGCAGCTCAGCAAGACAAGAGACACTGGGTCGCTTGGCCAATCAAGAGCGCCCTCCGGTATCACGTGGGTTGACCGCAGATGTCAATCACGTGACACATCATTCACCATTGAACCGTACGTGTACAGCTGAAACGTGAATTGAGCGGGCAGACGTCGACACGGGAGTCCAGCGCTAGGCAGTGAATACGTACGGTACATTTGCTCGTTCATTCGATGCAGTGGCCATGCATTGGACAAGCGTGTATGGCCGTCGAGTGTAGCTATACTCCATGGTGCATGTACACACTGTATACATGTCCATGCTTTCAACAGAAAATCGACGTTTATTGCTACCAGAGCAGGGCTAAACGACGGCGATGTATCACCCCTAAAGGACAGGACAACGACATGTCGGGTGAGGCCCACATTTCTTGCCTCTTCCCCGAAATACTGGCGCTCATCTTCAGCTATCTGGACGTGAAAGACAAGGGCCGGGTCGCCAAAGTGTGTCGGGCATGGAGGGACGCCTCGTACCACCGGTCAGTGTGGAGGGGAGTAGAGGCCAAACTGCACATCCGCCGCACCAACCCGTCTTTGTTCCCCAGTCTCGTGGCCAGGGGGATCCGGCGGGTGCAGATCCTCAGTCTTCGGAGGAGCCTCAGCCACGTCCTGCAAGGTATGCCAAACATTCAGAGTCTCAACCTTAGCGGTTGCTACAATCTCACTGACTTTGGGCTGTCACACGCTTTCGTGCACGAAATACCGACACTGACAGTACTCAACCTTAGCCTGTGCAAGCAGATAACGGACACCAGTCTATGGAGAATAGCACAATATCTCAAGAACCTGGAATCTCTGGACCTGGCCGGTTGCTGTAATATAAACAACACCGGCTTGCTTGTCATAGCAAGGGGACTGCCTAAACTCAAGTGTCTCAATCTGCGGAGTTGTCGGCACGTCTCGGACGTGGGAATAGGCTACCTGGCCGGCATGAGCAGCGAGGCGGCGAAAGGGGTTTGTAACTTGGAGGAGTTGGTCTTGCAGGACTGTCAGAAAATCACCGACAGCGCGCTGGGTAGCGTGGCTCAGGGGCTGCCCCAGCTCCGGGCCCTGAACCTGAGCTTCTGCTGCGGGGTCACGGACTCCGGCATGGTCAACCTGTCCCGCATGCCCAGCCTGCGGGAGCTGAACCTCCGGAGTTGCGACAACATCAGCGACATCGGGATCGCCCACCTGGCCGAGTGCGGAGGCCACTTCACCTCGCTGGATGTCAGCTTCTGCGACAAGATCGGCGACGCGGCGCTGGCCCACATATCTCAGGGAATGTACAACTTGACGAACATCAGCCTCAGCTCTTGCCATGTGACGGACGACGGGCTGGACCGCCTGGTTCGCAACCTCCACGGGTTGACCACGCTCAACATCGGCCAGTGTGTGAAGGTCACGGACAGGGGGCTCAAGCTAATCGGGGACCACTTGCATAAACTCAAATGCATCGACCTGTACGGGTGCACCAAGATCACCACCGTTGGTTTGGAGAGGATCATGCAGCTTCCGTGTCTCTCCGTTCTGAATTTGGGCTTGTGGCATAAAAGGTAGCCCACGGCTGGCTCCATAGCTGCAGTCCAATACACCGGCACATGTACAGTACATGTACAGTACATGTACACCACGGAGTGTATTCACGCGTTTACTGCGGCACACCAAGGCCTTTTATTGTGTGGTCCAGTGACCGACTGCAGCGCTGGATGGGGGGGGGGTTGCTGTGCATTTAGAATAGCAGGCGTGCGGTCACCAAAGCACAATATCCAAGCGGGTCAGAGCGCTGTTGCGCGCCTAGTGCTGGGCCGCCTGCATATTGTCGTCATGCAAAGAAACCCTCGCGGCAATTCACGGGGGAAAACCTCGCAGTGCGGTAATAGTATGCTTGGAGTATGGTGGGACCCCTGAACTGCATGCAGTGTTCTCTTTCCCGAATCCAGCCCAGGGATTATACCGAACCTTTTGACTAAATGAATGCACTTCCTGCCCGTTCAAAGGCAGAGTGCGTCTGGGTTAAATTCCGCCGTATCCCCCCCCCAAAAAAAAGGTTGAACCACCACCGTGGTTGCACCGATGATTGATACAGTGAATGCTGAATCAAACCGTGCGCTGATGCATTACTACAATGGAGCCTGCAGAGCAACGCTCTTGATGATAATATCCTCAATAATTATGGCAAAATGGATACGTGTGAACAAATACAGTAGAAAGATTTGACCAAGGTCTACAAAAATTACTGAGTGTTAATATAAAACTATTTTAATGGTAAGTGGTGAAAATGGGGACTTGTTACAAATTAATTGGGAAAATGTGTCAAACTTGGTCAGGACGGGGATGAAGGTTGAAATGGACGCATGAGAGGACAGGGATAGTCTGCATGGAGAAGAGGTGGCGGTATTAACGCCTAGCCACCCATCGCATTTGAGATTTACGCCATTGATCCGCAGGCGGGTCGAGGGTTTGGTTCTTTTTCAAGAGATCCCCGCTGCATCCGTGTACCCCTCACCACCCAGCGCCGCCGGCCGCTTTGCTGCTGATGCAAGATTCGTGCTCTGCGGATCACGGCGCCCCGAGCGAGCGAGTCACGCTGGTTTGCCGACCATGCCTCGGCTGCCTTTTTCCCACCGTCTTCCCATCCATCCTGCTACGATTTTCTGGAAAGGGGGGGGGGCAGATGGATAAACCTGGGGTCAGCTGCAGACTGGAGCCCTTGTCCAGCGTTCAAGTGTATGCATGTAGTCTGCTTCTGACGCTCTGCACTGATATTTTTGAGCTCCATCTGTCGGGCCCCGACCCAGACGATAGAGAAGAGTTGTCGGGCATGGTGTGAATTTGATGCGTGCGGTGATACCCAAGGGAACGCGATCCCATTTTTATAAATTGGCCTACATTATGCAGTCTAACGCAGCACGGGTATGAAACCATGAATGTTTGATGTCGCGATGCAGATTATCCTCCACATAATGGAACTGCAAAACGGGACTTTTTTTTTCATGGAAACCTGATTGTACACGTACTTTCCTTCCGATCCGTTTCTTTGAATTGTATAAAGCCTAACCTGATATTGCTGGATCTTGAGTTTTAAACCCCTCCTCATTCTGGGATTTTTAACCCATAGTTGTTTACAGTAACACCATCTGTAAATAAATTCTCTTAAATTACCTCATGAAAGAACTACCAGTTAAATTCATTTGTCACAATATGTAAACAAGCTATCTCGGGGCAGTTCCTTTGTTGTATCTCTGATGGACACGAACAAATTTAGAAAAAAAAATGAAAAAAAATCCAAGATGGCTGACAGACGAAACGTGTTTCACAAAATACAAACGATGCCCTGTTATTAGTTCAGAAAGTTTCAGCTTACTTGCTCTTGGCTACATAAATCACCTTACTTCAAAATAGGTGTCACGCCGTGACCCAGAGACATATAAATTACAAAGCTTGGTATCAGGTAAAGATGACACTAGGCGCCATTTCAGTCTCACCGTCTCCAAAAAGGGTTAATTTTTTGACACTGGTCAAGTTGTCTCATCCACAGCAGGGAGGTTACAGCGCAAAACAATACCAATGCAGTGTTTGTCTGAAGTCGGTAATTAAGTCCAGTAGTTTAGCCGTGCCTAGTCCGCTTTCACTAAAATAAAATTCCATTGCTGGAAGTCTCCGAAATTCAAATCTTAAGATAAATTATATATGATTTTTATCAAAAAAAGAGAGCAACGTGGGCGTTGTGGGTCAACATATTGCCTGTTTGCGTCCTATGACACACGATTTCACTGACTCCGTATATGAATTGTACGTACGAGTACTGCATTGAACATGTATATCAGAAAATGAGCATTGTGTCGCTCTGCACCATTGTAACATGGCGCCAGTCAGCGAAAGAGCAAATTAAGTGATGAATTTTATTCCATGGAACATCGATTTTAATAAACTGTGTATTGATATGGCTGGAAGAGTATTTTACTACAAAATGAATAAAACGGTTATCCTGAAAACGGTGTCTGTGTTTGCTTTCCTTTGGCTTAAATGTTAAAAAAAAATTTGCCCGAATCAGCCGTCTGGTTTGTGGTGATTCTAAGGAACGACTTGTCATTATGGCCTTAGGCTGTATGGTGTGTGCACCGTAAGGTGACGAACGTTAAAGTGCGCGTGTATTATAAACTGTCCTTGTGAGATTTGAAATGCGGGTCATTCCATGTGGCACATTTTCCCTTCAGTGTTCAAAAGCATAGGCTGGAACCATACTTGCAAATGAGAACGCGGATTTGGAATCGCAGCTCATACAACGGTTGTGAACTTTTTTGCGTCTAGATTTTACTTTGCAAACCCAAATTTCCATTTTTTATAAACTTTACTGTTCGTTCTCGAAAGCAGTTATTAGGGGCCTATAATCACATTTTTACTCGGAGATATTATGAAGACATCTAGGCTAGGCCTGCATCGTCGACGGATGACGCGAAACAATACACAGATATTTGCTTAATTGTTTCAAATGTACACACACACACGTATGTTCTTCAAAAGGTTTCGTATGCATTACATATAATGAGCTATAATCCAAGACAGAATGATGTACATTCAAACTATAGGCCTACATGTACTGCAAGTATTTTTTCTGGTCCCAGTTGCTTTTTTCTTCTCAAGTGCTACCCAGTGCCTCCATGGCATTTGCAAGATAGGCCTAATTGCAAAAATATTCGGTTGGTAATGAAACTGCCCGTGATTTAATTAGGTCATACCATCAGTATTCCATGAATTCGAAGAGTAAGACCAGCGTCTTTATGATAATCAGGCCTACATAACGATTAACTGCTGCACTGAATACATGTAGTCAAAAGAAATCAGCGGTTCCTGATCTAGCTCATAGGCGCTGGCGAATGGAGAGTCTTGGGCAAGCTTTCTCAACAGATCTGCATCTACATCATAGTTGGGGGGGGGGACGTACGTAGTTTCCGTCTATTGCCGCCAGCCACGAGAAGAAAATCTCCCATTCATAATTATACAAACTGAACCGCAAGACGGGAAAGCGTTGTACGTGCAGTCTGTTTCCTTCAACCTACCCCAATGGATTTCCCGTAGTGATTTGCTTTACTGTAACTACTAATCCCAACTCCCAAAATGGGATGTTTGGAAAAGCATATTGCAATCGGAGGATTTGGCCCCTGCAGAGTTCATGCAAGCTGGTAGGGTGCCATTAATTTTGTACCGCCAATCGACTTCCGACATAATGCACGCATGAATGTTAAACTATGCATGGAAGCCATGGCCTACGGTTCGCCATTTATAAGACACGGATTTCTGAATTCCCAACTCATTTGCCAAGATAAGAACTTACCATCTATTCGTGGATTTGCGTTGAAAGGTTTGTGTTTTTAATTTTCACAGTCACTCTGTCCATCGCGTAACTTCAAAGAGTAGCACAGACTGGCCATTTCTAATAGTTCAACACTGTGTTTCTGTATGTCTGTTCTGCATAAAAGCTTTTGGAAACGCACCTATTTCATGTACTTTTCTTTTGAACAGCATAGACGTCGTCAATAAAGTTAGAGAAGACTATGGTTGAGGGATCTCACTGAAAACAACTTACATGTATAAGCAGAAAGACTCTTGTCAAGTGATTATTCCGATCGCAAGCGCTTCAAAATTTGCTTTGCTTTGGCATTTGCATTGTTTTTATGCGTCTGCTGTATCAGTCGAGCGATGCTGGAGTGCGGGCTGGCCCCGAACCGAGCTCTGTCTCTCAAGAACACGACCTTGTGATTTGGGATCAGAAAAAAAAGTGCGCATTCCGTGTCACCCGCACGCCCAAATGTCACTAACCCGTGGGGAGCCCCAGCCGGGTAGGGTTTCGATTCTCTCGGCGGCTCAACTGTACAAAAGTCACCGCGGTTCACCCATAATTCACGACGAACAGAGACTCCATTATACAGTGGTTTGGTGGAAATGCTGGGGAAAGTGGAACTTTGTTCCTACAAAGAAATGATGGTCGCAAGAAATGTGGCCGACATCACGTGACTGTACTCTGGCTCCTAGGTAAGGTAACTATGCAGTGTCTTCGCCAACCATATTATGATGCACACATTTACCATTAACAAACATGCCAGACAATACTAAATACCAATGTGGGTTTGGTACAAAGAATAAATTATCCTGCCACTTGGTGAGAATCCGATCTCGATTTTGTTCAAGCCAGATAACCAGCTTGAGTCTTAGAATAAAATCGATACCCATATGTCTAGTGCGCTTTATTAAGTTTTGAAGCTTGACTGTGAATCGTTAAACTTCCATAGATAATAAGGAACATAGTCAAATTGAGTAAATACAATTATTATAATGGAAAAATGTCACAGGTTTGTCTCCTCCACACTCAACAAGATTCTTCGTATGGCATGGACGAGTCGTAGATCTCACTGCTAAAATTACCATCGCATTATACTGAAAACAGTCTTTGATATATAAAATCTAAATGCGACCTAAAATAAATTCAATACATGTTTAAGCTACAATTTTCGGGGGGGTTGGAACGGGGGGGTCCGTGCACATAGTCAATATTTGCCTTGTGTCGAGTGCAAACTAGAGCGTGGCAGATACCTGAGGACACGTACGGTACCATTTTATTAAAAATAGAACAGGTATCAGAAATCTCCTCCTTCATGCACACAACAGTCGTCGGTTCTGATGTGTGGCGATGCATGACCGTCAAGAAATAAAAACCCCGGATGACACGTACAAGGTCTCCTTAGATGGACCGTCTCTCCGGTTAGTTAGCAGAAGTTCCATCCTCCCGGCTCCAGGATATACAAGTTCACGTCTGCCAGTTCCCGAGGGGATATCTGTCAGGGTCTCGGACGTGCTTTTGCCCGGCTCCGTCAGCGACTCTGCGCGGTCGCCCCGAGACACGCTGTTGGATCAATAGTAAGTGTTCCGCGGGCGGAAATGACCGGTCAGTTGCCTAGCTCTCTCGGTCCCCATCCATGCTGTGTGGAGGGGGGTTGTTGTGAGGCGAAGGGTTGGTCATGCGATGCTGTCCATGGTATTTTTTGAGCATCTGGGTTTGAAAGCATGCGCGTGCTGAAGTTGTACCGCGAGACATATTTCTGTCCAGGTTAGACTCGGAGTATTACAATCACAATGCAGCGTGAATTTTTGTAAAAATTTGCTTTCGCAGCCATGGTTTTCGTTAGCAGCGATGACACTGCAGCGGATGGTATAGGCCCCCTGTATGATGTCACGTGATGAAAGCGGTACACGACGCTTGAAAGCCGTAATCATCGACCATGAATCATTGATTTGAAGTAGTGAAGAAACATTCTAAGGTTGCATGTTAAGCTCGTGCATAGATAAATCACAGGTTATTGATATCATACGTTACCATGGTTGCTTTTAAATGACTTCATCAGTTCCGGTACGCTGATTTTGGGGGCTAACACAGAGCGATGCCACCTTTGTTATCTTTTTCACCCCATGTGCAAAGCCTAGAACACAAGTGAAATGTTCTCTTTGCCATTTTTTTTCGTTGGCAATATAAAGTTCATGCTACGCAAACCTCTCTGGTAATAGGCCTACGTGTAGCGAAACACAACACTTAACACCTATAAAGCAACCACCAATCGCATTGCCCCTTCTTTGATTGGCCGATTGTGACACGTCTTGATGACCCAAAGGTCAAAGATTGACACGATCCACTTATCATCCACTCCCTTGTTTATATGTGCGTCCATCACGTGGTACCACTCCATTGGTGAGGGGTACTTTCTTGAGATGTCGGTTATTTACGACAACAGTTAAGACTGTTCCAGTCCAAACGATGACCGGTTGAAGTACATGTACTTGAATCAATGCGTGGCCTGCAGAGCGCGGTGCAGGCATAACGCATAGGACCGTCCTTCAACCCTAAGTTGGATATGTTCTGAACGCGTCCTACTTTTAGCTTTCAACCCATAGCGTGCCAACATGCACCAAAACGCCGAATCTGTATTAAATCACGGACAAATATTCTACCCAATTTCCATCCGTAATCACATCACACGCTGCCTCCCGTCCAGCGCCACAAAGTACAGCTCCTTTGTCGGCGCAGGAGTCAAAATATGATATTATGGTAGGCTATAGGGCCCGTGGCCAGCGTGAATATAGCGAGTGCACTCAGAAAACTCTACCATTATTAAATCTTGCATAGGCGAGCGACAGCATCGCGCCATGCATAGTCCACACACCCCCTGCGGTCCCGATTATGAAAATAATGTAAAAACCCAAAGGGAATTTCTGATATATTTTTCTCTCTCTCCCTAATATATGATAATTAAACGCCACAGACGAATTCATAAATGTGTATAGCTTTCGTATGCATAGGTTATGTTGCATATTGTAAATATGAGAGATTTCGAAAACAGTAAACAAATTGGGCAAATAAATCAATTTTTTAAAGCAAAAAAATAGAAACCTGCCTCCTAATAATATTACTGAATTTTAGGAAGAATGGACAACATTTCTACACGAATGGTGACAATTATCCGAGAACAGACTGAGGATGTTGTCCGGAAGCTGTCATGGTTCAAAGGCAATTTCCTGCTTGATGCAAATTTCACTTCTCCCTTAAATTGCGGGGAAAGCTGAAGCCACAAGTCAATGAAACTAGACCTCGGGCGAAGTATGGTGGAATATTTTGGGCAATCCTGGCAATTACAAAATACACAGTCTACCACAACAACTTGATCGGTCAAACAATCCATGTTTAGAAAGTTAACCAGCAAATATTTACAGCAACAGAAAACATTTCCAGGGCTGCTACGTCTCATTTTTATTTATTATCTCAATTTTACAGTCGTGTTTTATTCACGAAATAATTAGAGCATGACCGCAAGTAGGCAGGGTCCCTCAAGACAAACAGAAACCAAATTCGAACAATTTACCATTAGCGCCATACGCTAAATATATACATTTCGATTCCGAATGCACTTCAAAATCCCTTTTATTTCGCACTGTTGCAACAAATTCA